AGCAGGAATCAAAGCTCCCTGCTGTGCTTGGTAACAAAAAAACCCAGTGCTGCTGGGGTCCTGTCATCATTTTAGCTAATGAGACTGTGGATAAGATTACAAGAGGTGCTAAAAGTGGCCCAGAGGAATTTTGGTTGAAGTGCTTGCTTTCTCTTGTGATTGTAAGTATCTAATGCACCCTGTTGTTTCTTCACTTGAAGTTGATGGAAAGTTTAGTAAACACTAACCATTTACTAATAACAAAACACTGCACGGAAGCAAGCCAGAACTGATTGCTTTTGTGAAATTTAACAGGTGTTTCAAGTTGCTGATTTCTAAAGTGATAATAAGAAAAATCTTTTGTTACACCAGGAAAAGAAGTAGAAAATGGCTACCAGAAAAACTTCTGAAATGCTGGGGTGAAGCCTTTAAACCATTTCAAGTGAAGACTGAATCCAAACGGATGCAATCTCAACCCCATGAGAGGTCGTCAGCCTGTCCTACGTTACAAAGATCACATTGAGTAAGTATGGCAGTTCTCAACTGGCCTTTAAAACCTAAGCGTTTCATTGAGTAAGTATGGCAGTTCTCAACTGGCCTCTAAAAACTAAGTGTTTTCAGTTTCTCTGTGATAAGTTTACTTACTAAAAGTATTAATTTATGATCATAAAGTAATGATCAGTGTACTCAGAATGCACATTAACGTTAGAGAAAAATCAGGAAGGGAGTTAAGTTCTGAGCACCTCTGAAAGATGAACCTCTAATTCAGATGCCAAAGTATGGCTGAAGATTGTGTGGTAAAAACATTAGTAAATGCACAACCAAATTTATTTGCCACAGGAACAGATGATACATAATTCATGATGAGAGAAAACACAAGAAAATCACTTTGCAGTACCAATATAAATTCACCTGTAGTACAGTTAAGAAGTGTAATTTTTTCTGCATTTCAAATTGATTTTTAAATGGTGAAGACTATACTACAGTTCTGTTGAAGGAAATGATGAAGGAATAAGATAGAGTTGCAAAATCAGAGCAAGATACTGAGTTCTGAAACCAGAACTCTTCCACTTCTGTCTCTCCCTGCTGCATTAGCAGTAATAAGTAATTAAGTAAATAATAATTAAAAATAAAATAGAGGATGGCTTAGCCTCAATGACAAAGACATCTGCCTAATCCCCTCTGTAACTCAGAGAACACGCACACACTAGAAATGAATGAGTAAACCTGTGTGCATGTCCCATCTCTCATTGCATGGGTGGTGAAACGGAAACATTTCCTCCACCTTTATTTGCTTTTTATTTATTTTTATTTATTTAGAAATAACCCTTTACCTATCCGCCTGGGCTTTGTTTTTAATGCGAATTTCACTGAAAACACTTTGTTCATACTCACAGAAAACAAAACTATTCTTGTGGGTTTTGCATTCTGCGATGTGAACTGATGTCAAACAGGGCAACCAACGTGTTAGATGTGAGTTGAAGTATTACTAGTCTGAAATGCCAACGCATCGAGTGGTGGTATGCACAGCAAGGGGCTGTTCTCCTTTTTTAATAAAAGAGATCACAGCTTTCTATTTGTCCCCACAACATCTGTAGACTAGAAGTTAGAGCACTGAAATCCTCTACACGGGGAGCATGACTGCCTGACTTTGTCAGATGGTTGGTCAGTGCCAGCAATACCAGGGAACAAAATTCTACAAGTACCCTGTGCCAGTGAGTTGCTCCTGCAGATCCCTGCTTTCTCTTACAAACAGGAGATTCTGGAGAGAGCAATTCTCTTTAGGAACCTGATCTTTCTCCAACACACTCTCCATTACCGAGTTCTCCTTCACAACAGCAGTTCTTACCTGTGCTCTGCATGCTTATTCTGTCTTTCAGGAGTGCATCACCAAGTATTTGCCGATAAAATATCAAGATGTGGATGTAGCACATGCTGCCGATTAACGTTTCTGGTAGCAAACTGTTGGGAAAACAAACAACATGCAGTTGAGATTTTTATTCAGAAGGGCTCCTACGAAGCACTGTTCACCAAAACTTGAGAGTAATGACAGCTTCATGGAGATGATTATTAACTCGTACTGGCATCTCCCTGACTGTCTCACAACTTCTGAAGGTGTACAGTGATACAGCTCCAACAGCCAGACTCCTGCTGTTGTGGTTTTCAGTATTATTTAAACTTAAAGACTTTTTAGTTGTTTTCAACAAAATAGCTCTAAGCGTCAAACAGGGATCACGTACTACATGCAGGTGACATGACCCTCAGATTTTTCCCTAGCCAGTGTTTCAGGGAAGGGGAACGCTTTAGATGTCTGGAACGATTCTAGACTATCTGAAATACTTTTTCATTTTATGGCAGCACACACAAATACTTACTTCAGGATGTCTTTTGACTGCGCACTTAACGACCTCAGTTTCACTACAAGCACGGGCTGTTTCTTGAGTGTTATTAACTGATGAAAAACCCCGCTGCCTGCTTAAGAAATAAATACCCAGTAAGAAATCCACCACTTTGAAAGAACGTTAAGAATTATATTACAAGAATGGGCATTTAAATTTGGCAAGAGATGTTTTGCTAAAACTGTAATTGTTTAAGGATGGCCTGAACACCAGGAAGAACTGAACATCTGAAAATATATCAGTGTATCAGCTACATCAACATTTGGTCTAACATAAGCTGTTACCTCTCTCTAGGATGGTGGGTTCAAGAGACGCGTGGAGTAACGTGGAGGAAGTGTTCCAACCCAAAAGGTAAATGCCTTCTAGAGCTTGCAGCATGTGTCACTGGGAAATGGATGTTATTACAGTGTCCAGAGCAAAGCCATGGCTGCCCTTTCTTAAAACACGAGTGGTCTATCATCTGAACCAACTCTTAGTGAAGCTTTATTCAGCCCCGCAGGGAAGAACCAGTGCAGAAGTTCTGTAGCACATTTAGGCACATCTGGAACTGGCACATAAGTGATATGGGATAGATGATCTGGGACTCCAACAGCCTGGCTTGGGAACTCTTTAGACCAGTGTTACTGCTGAGCCTTGCACCATCACCCCACAGCCAAGAAGTGTGAAGTGCAGTTAAAGAAATAATTGAATACATTTATCAGAAATAATCCTCAACCTGCCAACACTGGAAATTACAGAAACGTTAGCACTGGCAGGTAGTTCTGAATCCCACCAGCCCTAACGCTCAGCTTGCTCTCATGCAAAATGAGAACACACAAAACAAAACCAGGCTGTGGTGACTGCACACGAGTGAGAGCCCTGGCTGACCACTGCACGTTGTAAAATTTGTATAGCATTTATTGTGTCATTTCAACTATAGAATGTTTAGGAGAAACTACACCTCTTCTTGATATTGATGGGTCAACCTCAACGCCTCTCTCATAGGGAGTACCACCATTTAATAGCAGCTCATACATCCTGTGAAAGAAGAGCAGCACAGTTAAAATAAAAAGATGTAAGGACATGTGAGAACAGCACAACTGCTTTCTGAGAAACAAAGAAACCTGCTATCTCAGACAAAAAACTGGCATGGTGCTTGAGGTTACGATGAGTATTTTATATGAAATGACTACATCTAACTACTACGTCACCAAGACTTAAATGATAAATTTGAAATTTGTACTATATGAGGAAACTAGTTAATTATTTTGAAAGAAATTAGCCACACTGATTCTCTTCCATGACTCTAATATTTTTCTTATATGAAATCTAGTGATTGTTTCACTGAAAAGTTTTTGAGGAGTCATGGCTTAAGTATCAAAGATACTTAGATATGGAAGAATTTAAATGTTGAAGAATAATACAAGCCCAGCTGTCAAGAGGAAGCCACTGCTGAAGCAAGCCTGCAATTTCACTCTCTGGGTACCACCTTTAACTTAATGGAATAGAAAAACAATGTTACAGATCAGATTTAGAAGAGAGTTAGAGGCTTATAGGACAGTAGAAGTCTCCTGCGGGGTTCCTTTTTTTCCCTATAATCCAAATATATTGAGAATACACATATACATCCATATGTATTCAGTAAAAATCAAATATTGCAAGTCTGCTCTGCAGTGAATCGTTTCTGTAAATTAACAGAAAGCTTTCCTACATTGAATAAAATAGAAATATCTACGTTTTATTTAAGATAGTCGGACCCATGAACTAATTGTAAATCAGCTGCAAAATATAAGCTTATTCAGCTCTTACAATAAGAGATCCATTCACAATGATTCCTAGCTGCTTCCAAGTCTTAGACACCCATCTCCTAATTTTTAAATGAGAAAGGGATATACAGCAAAGTGCACACAAAGAAGAGCCAGAGTTAGAAAGGACGTTGTCACCTTCAGTTTAGGTCATGATTCTATTTTATACAAACAAAACTCTGCATAACTCTCTATTAACTCAGACATTTCCATAGTTTTAAAATTCCACTGAAGAACACTTTTAAACACGTATTCACTTGGAACAATTCAAACCTGAACATTGAGTCCAGGAAGCGCTTTTCCCACGCAAACTTAGGAGAACATACCTGTGGAAGCAGGACCAGTGTTCTCATTGAACGACCCATTACAACCTGCATATTAGTCGGAATTAGACCTGCCCCTATCAGTGTGTAAGTATGAAATACAAACTTTGCTCCTAGCCTAAAACAGATATATAAACACAGAAAGAGAGAAGGAAAACATAATAAGCTTACTTGGAAGGAACTGGCATCCCATTAGAAGTAAAAAGCTTCAGAAATGCCCAGCCACAACTTAGCTCTCCTCTTTCACCTGTTGACTGGAAAAAGAGAGAAATGTAAATAACTTGAGCAGGTAAATCAGAATAAGTGACTGAACCACAAACAATTATTTATAATAATCACACAAAAAATGGTAAAAGCCCCAGATTTGTGGTAAGCAAACATTGACTATGTTGCCTTTGCAGGTGTTTGAGGATGTTTTACCAAACAGCACATACAGTTATGCTGAAGTCGATCAACCATGAACGTATTTATTGAGCCAAGAAATACAAGTTTAAGGGCAACCTACGTGTACCAAGCTCCTGAGAAATACGGAATGCACAGATACAAGGTAAAAAAACCCTGAACCCACACTGATGCTCTAAAGAATGCAAGACAGAAAGGAAGGAAAAAAATTCACCCAGAGGTTTTACCCATCTGATTCCAGAGTCAACAGTTCCAAGCCAGTGACCCTGTGCATCTGAAGGCTTTATTCACAGCACGAGAGACAGTGCCTGGGACAGGGAGCTGATCCTGTGTGCCAGCCCATCCGTTTTCAGACCCCAAAAGCACTACTAAGAGGTAAGAATTTGTGTACACTCCAGCCTTCATTTAAACTTACTCTGTAAACAGAAGCAGACAATTTTGTGTCATCTTGACTACTCCAGTTAGCACGAGGAGGGCCATTATGTCCCCTTAGGTCTCTGTGAACCATCATTTACCAACATGCTGTTCATCTCCAGGAATTATATAGTCCAGTTGCCTACAGGTTCACACTCTACTTCCCTGCCCAACAGTTCTGCATCATGTCTCCTCCATAGGCACCTGTTCATCTCCAGGAATTATATAGTCCAGTTCCCTACAGGCTCACACTCTACTTATCTCCCTGCCCAACAGTTCTGCATCCCCATTGCACTACCAGCATGTCATCTCCGTAGGCAGTGCACTCTTGCACCCTAAGTTCATACAGGTGTTCATGAAAGAGAAAACACCACAGTACTCCCCTTTGCAACTTCTCTATCCATCTTTCCAGGATTCTGCTGCCCACCCTTTAATACCCTCCTTGCTAACCGTTGTGGTTACCCCTCTTTGCACCCTTCACCCATGATTTACTTGATTGCCAGGATTCACCCGAGGAAGCCCGCGACCACAATGAAAATGTAAGTGTTGAGAAAGAGGCAGCAAGACTTGAGTCAGTCTTGTAGACAAAGTGGCTGAGATCTTCCAGAACAGTGACCTGTTCTGAAAACCCACTGGATCCTCCAAATATTAGTGTTTCTCATGCTCCTGCATGCATCTGCCTTCTGTTACGGTAGTTCTTATGGGCTGTAGCAGCTATGGCATCACTACCCAGTGTACTTTGCAGAAGCACATCCTAGATGGATAGGGATACACATGTATCAGTCGCAGCTAGGAACCAGTGTCCATACTATGGAAACAGTTAACGTTTTTGTATACAGGATGGTAGTCTGCAACGAATCATTAGGATAGAAAAAAACAACGCAGGAGTGAAGAAAGAATTGGTCCTCTGCAATTGCATAACATAAGACCTTTGGCAGACTAACAGAAATTATTTCAGTGTAAGTACAGGTACATTCTTGTCCACTAGCCAGAAAGTCTCTAAATGTTGACTAGAAGTTCCAAAACCCAACGTCTCTCCCCTCCCTCCAAGAAGCCAAAAGGAAGACGATTTTATAAGCTACGTTTCCATTTGGATCTCCCGGTTGGCTGCTGGGATACTGCAGCTTAACATCAAATATGGAGCAGCTGGTCCACTTCATAACCCTGTGCTTGGAACGATTGACACTGCAACGTCACACACTTACATTGCGAATATAAGTGATGCCCAGTTCAAATAATATACCGATGTCTGACGACACAGAGTTGGACCTGACAAAACAGTCACCATCCAGCAAGCTGGGTAAAATGCCCGTTACCTAATTCAGACAGGGGGGAGAAAAAAAAGTGAATGCACTTATTAAAAAAACCCTCTGATTTTTAAAGGCCATTGAACACATCGCTTGTTCGCGTTAAGATCTCAGACCCAATCTCATTGCATATAAACGAAAATTATGAGTGGAGAACCAATTTCAGTTGAAACCTTGCTCCCCTTATTCTTTATCTTGCCATGAAACACAGCTGTTCTACCAAGGCATGTTTTTTGTGTGTGATAACAAGCTATTAAGGAACTCTAGATGTCAAAAACCCACTTAATTCCCTCCAAGAACACAGCGACCACTGGGGTAAAACATGACAACACTACTATGAGTGTGGCCGTGCACAGCACCTGAAACATGGAAGCATGTGCTCTTTTTTAATGAAATCAAAGCAAAAGCTCACATGCAAGTGGTTAGTGTCTTCCTTTCTCCATGAACACCATGTAGCACGTGCCTGACATCAATTCAAAGTTAACCAGTGCCTGGATCACCAGTCCCTCCTGCTGCTTTTCCTTCCCCTCAACTCTTTTCTCCAAAGTGTTTTTGCTGAAACACTTGGTTTAGTTTGAATTCATGCACTTCAAGAAGTCTTTTCTCTTCTGCATGTTCATGTTCGTCACAATGCATTTTATTTCAACACAAGTACCAGAAGTAATAGATACTGTAAATAATAAATAGTTACTGGCTGTGTCACTCCCTGAGCAAGATACCTACCCTTGGAGAAAAGGTCCACGTCTGAGGATTTTTAGGTTGCCACGTAGCCCTCACTGTGTGAATGTTACTCAGCACCTAAAATATACAAGTAGTGAAAAAAGCTAAGACAAGTTTTTCTGGAAAGCTATGCAGCTTTAAGAAAATGCAATATTATCCCAAATTAATCCACCACTTTGCAGACAACAAAGATAAAATTACACTTGCTCTTCAGCTTTATCAGATGGTTTCAGTTTACAGGACTACAGAGGAAGTTCTCCCTGAAGCCACAGAGCACGTTCCAACCATCCTCGCTTCATCTACACCAGTAAGAGTCTCTCTGCCCCCAAGAGCATTCAGTGCAGCGGGAAGAAAACTGCCAAATTGTCAGCGGTCAGATTCTGCTATAAAAAGCTGCTCTACACATGTGCACGAAGGAGCACAGAGGATCAACAGGTGGGGGAGTGGCCATCACGGGGAGAGATCAGCCCAGAAAAGGCTCATCTCCACAAGCGTAAAGGAACGAAGAGTCACAATGACAGGTGGAGGAACCGAAATTCGGGACTGAGAGAAATGGAGCTGCCGCCCCAGCCCCTCCCAGGGCTGCCCAGGACAGCCCCAGGGGCCGGGTGGGACTCCCATGCTGATGAATCAACAGGAGCGGGTCAGACGGTTCAGACTGACGGGGTCACTGCTTAGGGGTATGAGACACTGGCGCGCAGCGGAAGGGTGTTTTGGGACTGTACCTGACTTACTATGGGATGTTTGGAAAAAGGGAGGGATCAAGGTGCTTTGTGGAGTAACACGGGTGGGAAAACAGAGGGATAAGTATGCGTGTCTGGCCATGCCCGGTGCCTGATCAATGCAGTCTGTCCTGTTTTCTCATTAAACTCCATTTATAACTATTTTTCTGGGTGGTTGGGCTCTCTGTTCTGAATGCACATGTGTGTAGGTCTAGGTGCCTTCAACTAGCCAGACCACAGGTCACTGGGGGCCCACGTGTCTGTGGTGACGGCAACTGGAGAGGCTGAGGGTATGTCAGTGTGTGATCGCAGGCGAGTCTCGAGCCAGACTAATCAGAGAGTAAGTTAAGCAGCTTGGGAGCTAGATACGTGTCTCTGAGTGAGACAACGGGAGGAGTTGGCGACCAGAGCGTGAAAGATCCTGGAAGATCCACACCTCACCAAGACTTTTTTTGATAGCCAAACAACTTACCCGATCGCCATCGAACAGACAGAGCCGGACATGTCTGCTGAGAACCTGTATACTGACTCCTGGGAGAGGAATCGTTTTACAGCTACATAAAGTTACAATCAGGGATACTCGAGTTGGTCTGGGATAGATCTGAAACACAGACAACAGAAGGATTAAATCTACAGGCTCCTCCTGCGTGTGGTACCAGTTTGTGTTTGTTTACTGAGATGATCAAGTGTAATATTCACTAGGCTGGATTCTTCTAACCACAAAGCTTGTGCAGTATTAGCAACAGCAGCAAAATTTCTTCATAAGCCTTTACCTCTCTTCTATTGCTATGAGCATTTTAGTGTGACAGATAGAAGGTCCCATCAAAGTTTGAGAAGAAAGAAATATTCTAAAAATGGCACAAACCAAGATACAATTGTTAGCCAAAATGAAAGAAGACAAATTAAATTGGTGATTTCATAGTGCCTAGCAGAAGCTCATAAAAATTCCACTAGTCACTCATGCAGATCTGCTTCACCCCAGACAGTGAAGGAACCCACAAACTTAAGATGAAGCATGACTTTTAAAAGATACCAAACATGACAACTTTTGCCTATTACAGAGTAGGATGTGGTAACATCTACTGCCTAAGGAGTCTAGATTGACATCGAAACCTATCATCTGTTTCACAGCAATATTTACCCACCAATATGACGTATTTTTTTTAGACTGCTACAGATCTCAACACTTCTCTCAAAGCAAAAGCGTCATAGCTTTCTTACCAGTAATACTCACAGTGTTTTTTTCAGGGTTCCACACCAAGTCTTTGAAAGCCAACTGTGAAGGAGTAAGTTCAGGCTTCAAAAAGTAACTTGCTCGAAACTGATGGCCTACAACAAAAGTAATTTTAAAAAATCTTAACATTTTCTACGATCTTTATTGCCACAAAATGAACAACACTCAAAATTCAGATGTGGCTAAAGTCTGTTTGAGTATTTGGCTGGTCCAAACAAAACTATGGTGGTATCTTCTACAAGCACCCTTTAAAAGGGTACTGTTACTATTTGTAAATATTCTGCAGTATTTCATTCCAGAAACACAGAAATTTAACAAAAAGAGCTATTGACTCGATTGATGAGAGATGTGTAACGTACTCGGTGAAGAGACTCCAAAAGATCTCCGAGAAAAGGGGAAGATAAAAAAATCATTGTTTTCTGCAATGTCAATGGGAAGTATCTTCCAAAGAGGAAAATCTTTGAAATCATTAGGAAATTTGTCATTGCCTCCATGTGGCCAGGATTTCACACAGATAAATTAAAACTTCACTGGAGAAGAACAAAAAGCCTTTTATACGTTATGTGATGGGTCAAATGTAGCCTGTACAGATTACTAACTATAATTAGGCAACACTGATTTTAGTCCGATAGACTAGTAACCAGGATAAGAAACTCCCCACAGACACTTGAGAATCCTGCACTGGAGTCATTATGAGAAAACCTTACCTTCTTCTAAGAGCTGGAAAAGTGTAGATAGGCGGAATCCTGCAGGAACTGCTCCGATGGTTGCCAATACCTCTACTGTGTCGTTCTATTAACACACAAACAAACAGATATTAGTATTCCTGCTATTTAACATCTAATTCTGTCCTAATTTAGAAGTCTCACACAACCAATATCAGGTACCTGGGGAGTCAGTCACCTCTTCTCCTCCGAGGCTAGTCTGGCCCATCTCCAGGAACTCCTTTTACTCTGTTCTATGTATCAACCCAGCCAGGCTCCCAATTTGTTAAATCCCCCTTCCATTGCAAAGCAGCAGCAGAGCAGCCAGTTACAGAACAAAAATCACACCCTTGAAAGAAATGGGGCAGTATGTGGCAAAACAACAAAAGACATCTCATTGGCATCTTCTTTCAGACACAGGGACTGGGCTGCAGCCTATTTCTAAAGCGTTACAGAACCGTAGGATTTCTCGCTCCAAAAAGCAAGATAGGGATGTTAAAAACATTGACCTGCACTATGAGAAACAGCATTTGGTAAAAGTCAAACCTCGTCTACAAAATAATTAATGTTATGGTAGATGAAGCTGCTGGGTGAGAGAGACACCTACCTCTGTGATAGCTCTTCTTACAGCACTCCAGTGAGAATCCGTTCTGGAAGAAAAATAACGCATTTTTCTTAATATATTATCCTTGTGTGGACAAAAATTTAATCACTAAACACAGGTTCGTTTTCAAATACCAGCAGCTTAATAACCACATCTATCTGAGATATTAATAATGATCTATTTCCAGCTGCTAAAACTAATTGCTAGATTATCTCATGAGCTAGAACACAATTCAATATACGACCCAGTCATTCTTTGATTTTTATGAGGGGGGTGGGGAAAAAAAAGCAAACCAAAGCAAAATTCCTGAACAAACCCACTCAACTAAAAGCATGCCTCAAAAAAAATCAAGTGTCTGCTGTACTGAAAAGAAAAATACAGTCACAAAGAACCAGATCCCCTTGTGAGGTATTCTCACCGTAAGAAATGTACTGCCAGATTTAAGGAGGAGGAAGAACAATTTTATGTTTATTCACTTTCACATCATCCATTTACCTTTTTCTAATTTGAGTTCCATCTGTTTCATCCACCACTTCTATGTGTTCTTCACTTTGCTCTTGGCTGTCGACATCTTCATTATGGACCTGTAATTCAGATTCAGAAAGGGAAAGTGCACCATTTCGTCACAGCTCCGTTCTTAAAAATGCTTTCTTCAACCACAGCACGTGTTAATAGTTTAGAACAGATTTTCTCTCTGTAACGACCTATCGCTCCAGAGCACTGTAACTGCAGATCACTGCCCTGCGTTCTGTAGTTACGGTAAGGGACTGGAGTATTCCTACAAGTAAGCAAGGGAATGCATTTGCCAAGTGGATTCTTTAAAAAGAGAAACAGGTCAGCATCATGAATTAGAAGGCTGCCTGCTCAACATGCTCTTCGGTCACATTGTGAAAAGCTCTGTTCCATCTGATGACTCAGTCCAAACTGTGTGCCCACGTTTAAACGTTCACCACAATTGTACACTGGAAATATATGTGCCTGAGTACATGAACTAACATGTGTGAGGTACTCTAAAAATGGGGGAAAAAAAGTTACAAAGCTTTAAGATCCATTTTTTAAAAGGTTCTTCCATGTCCAATTACAAAATACTCTGACATTTACATGGCCTCACATTTCATATAAATTATGAAAAGCCCGAATTAGTGCATAGCAGCTTGGAGTCTTCAGAGTTGACCTTTAGTGACAAAGATTATGACTTTCATGTTCAAGAAGCTTCTCTGCACTTACATGTCACATCTTCACACGGCACAAAAATACTGCTTTTGCTAGCCCTCTCCGTACACAGGTACGCAAACGTGGTGTTATTTCCAAAGAACTGGCAAAACCACTGCTGTGTGCCCCCATCTAAGCACCGTGATCAATTTTATGCAGCTAAATTATCATTAATCTGTATAAAACACCAGAGGTGAGACTAAAACAGGAGGAGACCGCAGCACACTCACCGCCAGATAGGTTCTAGGAACGAGGCCCCTCTCCCCTTTCGAGTTTTCGGCTACCCACCAGCCATCCGCCTTCTTGTCGTGTATAAGTAGGATTTCACCTTGCTTTGCCGTGAGAGGGAGACACAGAAACA